TACGATATGGTTAAATAATGGTACAAGTAATACGATATGGCCCCGGCAGTGTTTAAACTATCGCAAGACTACTGCGCCAATAGTTCAGCTCTCCCCTATTACTCATATGGGGCGGTCGGGTAGCCTAGTGGTTAAAGCGTTCGCTCGTCACGCTGAAGACCCGGGTTTGATTCCCCACATAGGTACAATGTGTGAAGCCCATTTCAGGTGTCCCCCGCCGTGATGTTGCTGGAATATTGCTAAAAGCGGCGTAAAACCACACTCACTCACTATTACTCATATAGCTGAGTACAAGTGAGTGAGTGGGTTTGGTTTAACGCCGCTTTGAGCAGTATTGTATGTACATGTACACGATGACACATCTCGTCTTATTATTACGTTCATTCCGTTTCGTCAATGGCACCTTACGTACTACCGACTTGGTATTAATTTTGATCAAATGTCTCAAATGTCAGTGGTCTATGTACATGTTCATATTCTGGGAATCCTTTCAGATTGCCCTGTAGTGTGATATCACCCCATGATCAATCTCATTAAAATCAGAATCTATGTTCTCGCTTCCGCAAAACAAAGATCTGAGGACATCCCATTACGGCTCACGTCAGAATGACCTTTCGCGAACTTTGACCGACCACTGAAACGAATAAACAGAAGCCGGTATCAGTTAATGAGATTGCAGCTCTCTCGAGCTTTACGCTACTCGTTTCAACCTGGCGACTTCCATTTCAGACTACGCTTGAAAAATATGTTGACACAGTTTTCGATTAAAAGTTTCAAAACTGAACCAACGAACATTCCGGAATGTCAAATATATTGTTGCGATTGTATTGCAGAATTTCCCGCGTACTGTGCAACGCCTGCTTCGTTCAAATGTTTATCCCGCGGAAGCGAGAGATAGACGATAATTTGGACGGAATCAGTCCGTAACGGAATACCCCGTGTTAACGTTTTCGAGGTTGCATGATTAGAAAACTCATTCCGACTGTCACTTTCATGATCTGGTAAGCGACGCTTTGATTGGTCGGATGAAAGGTCGTTCTGACGTGATCCGTAATGGGCTGTCCTCAGATCTTTGTTTAGTAATAGCGAGAACTAAGATCTGATTTTAATGAGATTGCCTCATGATCTCTTGTCAGTGAAGTCATATCTTCATATCCGTAATCATTGTGACATTACTATGGTTAATGAAGTATGCTATTACGAAAGAAGCTTGATATTTTTATAAAAACGGAGTTCACTCGTAAACAACGTAATGGTATCTCAGTGAAATGTGTTGATATTTTCTGGTAGCTTTACATCTCTTGTCTTCAGCTTCTACACTGATATCACAGAACTGTGATTGGGGGAGGGTGAGTTAACTCTAAGCGTGATATCACACCACTGTGTTTCGGGGGAGGGGGAGTTTACCAGGCATATATGTGGATCCAAGCTTGATATCACAAAACAATGTGTTTCGGGGAGGGTGAGTTTACTCTAAGCGTGATATCACACAACTGTGTTTCGGGGAGGGTGAGTTTACTCTGAGCGTGATATCACACAACTGTGTTTCGGGGAAGGGTGAGTTTACTCTAAGCGTGATATCACACAACTGTGTTTCGGGGAGGGTGAGTTTACTCTGAGCGTGATATCACACAACTGTGTTTCGGGGAGGGTGAGTTTACTCTAAGCGTGATATCACAGAACTGTGTTTCGGGGAGGGTGAGTTAACTCTAAGCGTGATATCACAGAACTGTGTTTCGGGGAGGGTGAGTTAACTCTAAGCGTGATATCACACAACTGTGTTTCGGGGAGGGTGAGTTTACTCTGAGCGTGATATCACACAACTGTGTTTCGGGGAGGGGGAGTTTACCAGGCATATATGTGGATCCAGGCGTGATATCACACAACTGTGTTTCGGTGAGGGTGAGTTTACGCTAAGCGTGATATCACACAACTGTGTTTCGGGGAGGGTGAGTTTACTCTAAGCGTGATATCACACAACTGTGTTTCGGGGAGGGTGAGTTTACGCTAAGCGTGATATCACACAATTGTGTTTCGGGGAGGGTGAGTTTACTCTAAGCGTGATATCACACAACTGTGTTTCGGGGGAGGGTGAGTTTACTCTAAGCGTGATATCACACAACTGTGTTTCGGGGGAGGGGGAGTTTACTCTAAGCGTGATATCACACAACTGTGTTTCGGGGAGGGTGAGTTTACTCTGAGCGTGATATCACACAACTGTGTTTCGGGGGAGGGTGAGTTTACTCTAAGCGTGATATCACACAACTGTGTTTCGGGGAGGGTGAGTTTACTCTGAGCGTGATATCACACAACTGTGTTTCGGGGGAGGGTGAGTTTACTCTGAGCGTGATATCACACAACTGTGTTTCGGGGGAGGGGGAGTTTACTCTAAGCGTGATATCACACAACTGTGTTTCGGGGTGGGGGAGTTTACTCTAAGCGTGATATCACACAACTGTGTTTCGGGGAGGGTGAGTTTACTCTGAGCGTGATATCACACAACTGTGTTTCGGGGAGGGTGAGTTTACTCTAAGCGTGATATCACACAACTGTGTTTCGGGGAGGGTGAGTTTACTCTGAGCGTGATATCACACAACTGTGTTTCGGGGAGGGTGAGTTTACTCTGAGCGTGATATCACACAACTGTGTTTCGGGGAGGGTGAGTTTACTCTGAGCGTGATATCACACAACTGTGTTTCGGGGAGGGGGAGTTTACCAGGCATATATGTGGATCCAGGCGTGATATCACACAACTGTGTTTCGGTGAGGGTGAGTTTACGCTAAGCGTGATATCACACAACTGTGTTTCGGGGAGGGTGAGTTTACTCTAAGCGTGATATCACACAACTGTGTTTCGGGGAGGGTGAGTTTACGCTAAGCGTGATATCACACAATTGTGTTTCGGGGAGGGTGAGTTTACTCTGAGCATGATATCACACAACTGTGTTTCGGGGGAGGGGGAGTTTACTCTAAGCGTGATATCACACAACTGTGTTTCGGGGGAGGGGGAGTTTACTCTAAGCGTGATATCACACAACTGTGTTTCGGGGAGGGTGAGTTTACTCTGAGCGTGATATCACACAACTGTGTTTCGGGGGAGGGTGAGTTTACTCTAAGCGTGATATCACACAACTGTGTTTCGGGGAGGGTGAGTTTACTCTGAGCGTGATATCACACAACTGTGTTTCGGGGGAGGGGGAGTTTACTTTGAGCGTGATATCACACAACTGTGTTTCGGGGGAGGGGGAGTTTACTCTAAGCGTGATATCACACAACTGTGTTTCGGGGTGGGGGAGTTTACTCTAAGCGTGATATCACACAACTGTGTTTCGGGGAGGGTGAGTTTACTCTGAGCGTGATATAACACAACTGTGTTTCGGGGAGGGTGAGTTTACTCTAAGCGTGATATCACACAACTGTGTTTCGGGGAGGGTGAGTTTACTCTGAGCGTGATATCACACAACTGTGTTTCGGGGAGGGTGAGTTTACTCTGAGCGTGATATCACACAACTGTGTTTCGGGGAGGGGGAGTTTACTCTAAGCGTGATATCACACCACTGTGTTTCGGGGAGGGTGAGTTTACCAGGCATATATGTGGATCCAAGCGTGATATCAAACAACTGTGTTTCGGGGAGGGTGAGTTTACTCTAAGCGTGATATCACACAACTGTGTTTCGGGGAGGGTGAGTTTACCAGGCATATATGTGGATCCAAGCGTGATATCAAACAACTGTGTTTCGGGGAGGGTGAGTTTACTCTGAGCGTGATATCACACAACTGTGTTTCGGGGAGGGTGAGTTTACTCTTAGCGTGATATCACACAACTGTGTTTCGGGGAGGGTGAGTTTACTCTAAGCGTGATATCACACAACTGTGTTTCGGGGAGGGTGAGTTTACTCTAAGCGTGATATCACACAACTGTGTTTCGGGGAGGGTGAGTTTACTCTAAGCGTGATATCACACAACTGTGTTTCGGGGAGGGTGAGTTTACTCTAAGCGTGATATCACACAACTGTGTTTCGGGGAGGGTGAGTTTACTCTGAGCGTGATATCACACAACTGTGTTTCGGGGAGGGTCAGTTTACCAGGCATATATGTGGATCCAAGCGTGATATCACACAATTATATTTCGGGGAGGGTAAGTTTACTCTAAGCGTGATATCACACAACTGTGTTTCGGGGAGGGTGAGTTTACCAGGCATATATGTGGATCCAAGCGTCATATCACACAACTGTGTTTTGGGCAGGGTGATCTAAGCAGAACATATATATCATACCTGGATTTTGCGGATGTGTTTCATCAAGTTGAAATACATACGATCGTTCTAAGAATTAGTAATTACTACCACATCTTCATAACCGTATGGACTAGTTGTCAACAATAACCACTAGTTCTGATAAACATGAACAGTCCCTTATACTATTCTGTAATGGCAGCTAACAAGTGATTTCTCCAAACATCCCTGCAGTTCAGAAAGTAAGATCTAACAATATTTCATACGGAACCAGTTAAACTTGTTCAACATCATACTGATCCTTTGGAACACGTTGTGACTACAGGTGAGGTAACAATGTATAAACTATAAATTTAATTTTAGAATATGTTCCTTAACCGTTCCAAATTTGTCAAAAGACCTTGTGTTGGCAATCTTCTCAGGGCAGCGTTCCTTGCCAAACATCTTGAAATTTCAACATGTGCGAAACTCACTTGGGAACGTTTCATCTTCTGTATTATGTCCCCCGTCTTTCGTCGGGTCGATAGCTTAAGAACTTTATCCTGTCATACCTACATTTATTCGCTTGCACAACAGCTCTGTACCATCTGAAAGTCCTTTCTTTGTCAGTTAACCGGAGCGGGAGTGCAATAAATTTACCATGAAACACCAAGGTACGAGGCATCAGATGTCTCGAAGTGAACAAGCCAATGGAATTTGTCAAAACCTCCCAGCGGCGCATCTGATTGGCTGTAGATAGCAAACAGCGAAAGTGATCTAAATTCCCCGCGGCTGGTTGACCACAAAGCTGCAAGCCATGGCAGGGGAATAATCTGTGGAGGCTGTTATGTCGACCGGGGGCTGAGCAGTCTAGGTGATAATGCTTCTAACACCACCACTTCTCGCCTACAAAAAGGGGTACAGATCAGGGAAGTTTCAGTGAGGAGTAGAGATTACACACCGGCTCCGAGAGTATTTTCGTGCACGAGAGCAGACGACAATTTTCAATCAAGATCGGCGGAATACGAGGAAATATATGGATTAATTGCCTGCTACTTCACGAAGTAGCAAACTTTCAAAGGAATCTGGTTTAGATATTTCACTACTGAGAGAATAACGGTAAGAGCTCACACAAGTGCCTAATTATCACAACTCTTCAGCAACAGAAAGTTTTGAGAAGAGAAGTCATTGGATGAAATATGAATGTGGATTCAATGTGAAGACGTGGATATACATTAACGGAACTACCTGCAAGTGCAATACTGTCAAAGTTGCTCCATTCTTCATTCAGTGGTATAGCCTAGTTATTCAGTGGACCATTTGTCAACACCATAAACAACACAAGAGGATCCACTTAAGGTGCCATCTAATGTTATTACCGCCTGTTCATTTGGCAGATATCTACCGATCGAGTCGCCAATTGGGAATTAAAGCTACTCTTTCACCGGAAACAATTTACAAGTGATGTCATTCTTCAAAAGTTCATGTCACTTAAATTGTGCAACACGAAACCTTGGTGCATGTGACTGACTACTTCGGTGTTTTATCAGCGGAATACCAACATTTTACCAACTTACTGAAGACGTCAAGGCAGAATGGGGAAACTCAGTGTGTTTAAGATAGCCTTGAGCAATGTTCAAGGCGTCTATTTTGCGGGACAGATGCTGCAGGGTCACGTGATCTTGGAGCTGAATGAACCTGTAAAGTTAAAAGGTATGTTTAATGGTGATTTAATAACATGTTAACCAACATTTATTTGAATAATTGTATTTGCTTGTGTAGTCTGCATTAATGAGATTAACATAAAGTGTAAAATGTGACAACCAAATGAACTATATTTTAAACAAGCTCTGAATCATTTCCGCAATTGAATTCATGAGTAGAACGATTTCAAATATCATTTATCTCAGTGAAGGTATACACTCCCAACAATATGAAAAGAATGATCTTCTCCCAAACTACTGGGCAGTTTTATGACATGTAGAATGTGTACTGATATGTGCAAGAATTCCTTTGAATCATAGCGAATTCCTTCTTCCAGCAACACGTGCACATCGTGCAGTTGGTCATAAATTAGTCGCGCGCTCGGCTGCACAGCTGTAAAGCACATGGACGGAGTCGGGTTGGGTGGGGGCAACCGCTGGAGGGGCAAGGGGAGGGGGAGGTATGAAGGCGCCAGTGGGTCTCCAGCAGCACGCTTGTTTTACACCCCCGTGGCTCTGTCCATCTTAAGACTCAAAGAGACCATTTCTGGTATGTTCACAATTATACAGCAAGTTTTTCTGTACTCGGAAAGTTTAAGCACACCGTGCGTTTTACATTATATTGTAATGAAAGCCACTCCAAGGTGCGCGTTAAGAAGGTTTTTATCCACATTTCCGCGGCTTTAGACCTAGGCCTGTCAGAGACTATGTCGATATGTTACGTTCACACGAGCTGTTTGTTATTGTGTTCTCTTAGCTAAAGAGTTTTCCACAGGTAATAATAACAGTGTGTGTACAACAAGAGAGAGAAAATAAACAAAGCTTCCCTACAGCTATTGGTGGTATGCAGACATGTTTAAGAAAACCTGAAGCCAACGATAACGTTTTATATGTAATCAGGTCTTTACTTACTACTTTTTTTCGTATATGTAGGTAAAACGTGTAAGCATTACTTGCGGTGCCAATATTAGTATCTTGAGAGGTTGATTTAAAAAGAGTAATTCTTTAATTATGTTAAAATTAATGCAGAAATAAAAGTAAATATCTTCCGAGATAAGCTGGTGTCTCACAGTGTATCAAACATCTTTCATCTGTTTGCGGTAGTCAGTTAGAGAGACTTCAATGTCGGAAGCCAATTACCAGTTTGGTTTAGATGTTGAAATCATTGCCATGTCTGGAGTGAGGCATTTTCTCGCTGTAGAAAGAGAATCATATATGGCTATATTGATCTACATCACATAATGTCAGTTAACTGAACGAAAACTGGCATCTGAAAAACTTGAATCAAACTTGCTAAGACAGAATACCCCTTTCGGATACAAGAGCTCTGACAGGAACTAATGATAAAACAGAAGGCCTTTCATGACATTTGTGTCAGAATGTATCACGCCCTCCGCGATCCACCTTAAATGTCACTACCTACCCATAACAACCTTTCCTGCCCTAGTTATGGTACGTAAACAATACCACTCTTGTCCAGATTTACGTACATACTTTAGTGCCAGGAGCACCCGTCGACTTCTTCCCTCTCCTACTAGTGGTAACAAACATGCGGGAAATTATTGTCTCTGGCGAGCGTTCTAACCTCCTTGTAGCGGCCCCAAGCCGACGTCGTTCCTGAACTAACATCCTACGCCGCACTCTGTTTACTGATGAGACTTTCATGTGTTTACATGTAGCAGGCGAGTTTTTGGATCGGGAAGCTGCGTTTGTACATCTGTATGCAACCGGGAGCAATTTGTGCAAAGTCCTTTCCAAATAATTACATGTTTATACCCGGCTTGGGCATATTACGGACAAATGGTTCGGGTTTCTTCACTCAGCGTATATCGAAGTCATTTAACGCATTAAACGATTGAAAGAAAATGATAGCCTTAACGTCCATGCCAATTACGCGGTTGTCGCTACTGTCTTTTGATGTTATAAGCTAATCATTTAGACTTGTAACAGTAAACCTAACCTCATTTTCTTCATAATGGTTGTGAGTGTTTGCCTGACTGGACGCATTAAGGATTTTATTTTGTTGAAATGAAATTAAGATTGTTCAGCGTGTTTTGAAACAACGTTATTTACTCATTATGATCAAAGGAGACATATCTAAGTTTATGTATGAATAGGAGAGGTGAAATGGGGTTTAACGTCGCGTCCAAGATTTTTGCACTTATATAGCGACGTGCATGCACGTTTGTGTGTGTGGCTGCTTGTACAAGTCGGGACTGATGCCGATTTGTAGTGCTAGCCTACTGATATACCATGCCGTTGTTTAACATGAATACCCCACACTCAGACACAGTAAACGGACTCCCAGCCGACCAGTCCTTGTTTTAGCCTCTTAATGCCGAGCGCCAGACAGGGTAACAACAAGTACCATATTTTAACGTCTTTTGGTATGACGCAGCCGGGGATCGAACCTTGGGCCTGAAGTAAATGCATGTTAATTTTCCAGCATTTATTATGATTTAGCGTTTACACTTACGTGAATTGTATTACTGACACTGTTGAGAGTAGCAGTTTTCTTAAGTCAAGAATGGATAACGCATGCACGAGAGCACATAGTCTGTCTAGAGAGCACACCACGCATATTCAAACGCGCATATATATGCGCACTTAATAAGAACACAATTGATGTACAGAACATCTGTATTAGTGGCACCGTATTAATGTATACGGAATACCGATGTCACACAGACACGTGAGTGAGTGAGTTTAACGCCGCTTTTAACAGTATTCCAGTTATATCACGGCGTGTCAGCTTAATGTGGGAGGAAAGCCCGATGTGATGCAGGTCTCAGACGTTTACAACTTTGGTGAAACCCACGAGCACGGGTATGGTGCTGACAAACCTAGAAACATAATCGGGGCGAACCGGGATTCGAACCCACGCTCATAGGTTTCTGGCGTGCCCAAGGGACGCAACTCTGCACAGTGAATCGCGGCGCCTCAGACGACTGGACCACCCGTGCCCCCCACAGACACGTGAAGACATGCATCAATCAAATAACCGACATGGAGAATCGAACACAGTCCTAGCGAACACACATCATTAGACCCGACATGGTGTTTACGTTCGTGAGGACAGCGGCCGTGGACGTTGAAAGGTGAATCGATTACGTAGTCGAGACCCCTAAACCCACCGCTGTCGGCCAAGCCAACCTTCAGTACTGTTAACACGATGCAACGATGTTAATGCGACGCAACGATGTAAATACCATTTGGCAAACTGGCACAGGATTGAATAAAGCTGATTTCCAAACCAGCCAACTTTAACCATGCTTTATTTAAATAGTGAAACTATTTCCTTTGTGCCAGTATATGTTTACCATGTCACCGTGACACCGCAGTTTCCTCAGGACAGGGCAAGAATACATTGTATTGTAGACACCATTCCTTATAATGATCACTGCCACGTAGCACGGCTAATATTAACTATGGATATACTTGACGCAGATCTGGGCTGTGGTTTGTAAGATGACACCTGCTCAGTGTTTAATACACCATGATTCATTACATTACAATGCTTCTCCAACATAGAGCAAAGGGACTGGCACTGAGCGCCCAGTGAACATGATTGGCAAAACAGTATCCACTAAAGAAAACACAGAAGTGTTGTATTAGATAGACAGAGTGTTGCCATTCCAGTGATGTAGTGTTAGTTAACTTCACCATTTCGACATGCTCTGTGAAGATTGGGCAAACATACAGTAAATATAATAAAGCTATGCACAAGGTTAAGTACAATTGATTCTACGATAACCTCAAGTACTAGTATTTAGGATCCACCACGTCTCTTAATTCAGGGGATGGAATTAAGCCACCAGAGCTGAGAAGGGGGATGAGAGTAGAATGGGGTGTTTAATTAAATGTATGCTCTAGGATCTGTAACGGAAACTATGTGGGGATATTAACTCCTGCATTCACGGGGAAGAGTGGTTGATAATATTACTACTCCATAACACCTACGATGATGAAGTATGTGTTAGAAATATTAATGGATTCCAAGTTGTGCTTGGGAAAAGGACTAGCAGTATTTGGCCATAATACAGACATACTGGATGCGTCAATATCTTGAATATCAAGTTGAAATGTTCTCGGATGTTACACAAACGAGTTAAAAGTTGACCAACCATGATCGGCCTTACAGTGAGAGCACTAGTCCTTCTTACACACCACAGAACATACATATTTAATAAAACAACCATCCCAACTCCACTCTCATCTCCTTGTCTAGCTGCCACACTTATCCACTTTCCAACTCAAGCAGCCATACTTATCCACTTTTCAGGTCTATCAGCTTTTTACTCATCCTTGTGTCAGTCCCAGCCTGAGATTAAGAGACTTGAGGGTTCCTGGATACTCCAGGGTTCCCTGTTTATTGCATTATTTTTATTTACTCATATACACGGCTTTATTCTGGAGACGATGTGATTGTCTAGGCGAGCACGTGTCCTATCTAGAGCGGGGGTAATGGTAACAGCAGTGGGAATATAGCGCCAAGCAACCCAACCAGGGAACCAGGCCGAACGGCTCCCAGGGGATTCCCCTTTAATAGCTGTTACACGGTTGCATTACAAAAACATGATTAATGACATTTTAAAACTGTGTATTTGATCCCCATATGGCAAGGAATGTATTTGATTTGCAGATGGGGCTTTAATGGTGTATGCCCAGCGCTCAGCTGGTTGTGTGGTTGTTGACTGACACTGACGAATTGCCTTTCAGTGGTAACATGTTCAGCGAGGATCACGATTCCCACGATCATAGGTTTCTGGTGTGACCAAGGGACGTAACTCCGCACAGCGAATTGCGGCGCCTCAGGCGGCTAGCCCCCCGTGCCCCCTGACGAAAATAAAGCAAGATGTACTTAGAATTGATAACTGCGCCTATACAGTATAGGGACATATGAGAACACAAGGTTTGTTGTACCCGTGTGTTTTGTAATATCAGACACGTATAGGTCAACAAGTCTTGCTTTTATCTTTCATCCACAAAATTATATATTAAAAGCCAAGT